TAACCAATTGTGTAATTTCTTAACACTTAAGTGCCTTATGATGACAGGATATAAAAAATTACTTATCAATTTATAAACAATTTGTTGAAGAGAAGTATGAGAGAGATCAAGAAGAGACTTAGAAACATAGAAATATATTATAGTAGGAGAAATCTTTGTGGAGAAAACAGAATGGGAATAGTTCATGGGGAAAAACAAGGAACAATGTAAAATTTTCCAAATGTTAAAAAAGCTTATTGTACACCACCAAGAGTGAACCCTAATGTACACCGTGGACTTGGGTGATAATGGCATGTCAATGTAGGTTCACTGATTGTAACAAATACACCACTGTGGTGGAGGATGCTTACACTGGGGGAGGCTATGCATGTGTAGAGAGTATATAGGAATTTTCTCAATTTTACTGTGAACTGAAAACTGCTCCAAAAAATAAAGTCTATTAAAAAAAAAGCTATTATAAAAATCGGGGTGCATGTCCCCCTTCAGATCCCACTTCCCTTTTTTTCCCTCCCATCCTCTTTTCTTTTACTATTAGTTGCCCTTTCTACTCGGTTTATTTGGACCATATCTGACCGCCTTCTACTGAAGATAACAATTTTCTACAATTTTCTTCTGAATCCTGCAGTTCATTAATTGTATTGATATATTGTCTAGAAGGTCTTTCAGATGCTATTTCCTGTCCGGTTCTGCAGTATTTTGTCATAAACACAATGTTGGTTTTTCCTCTTCTCTCATACTAAATCAGGGCAAGATTGTTCTGTAGGCAGTAACTGTCAACAGGCAAAATCTGTGGTCTGCCTTGAGCTGTACTCTCTTTGCATCTGTGTGGAGGATATTTTTTCCTTAGGGTGAGGTCTGAGGGGTTAACTGACTGCCCAGTTCCTACTTTCACTGACCTTCTAACCTTGGGTTTTTATGAACTAATATAGTAATTACAAAGCTAAACTTCTCAGCATACACCTTCACTAAAGCTCTTCTGTACTGTCAGGAGCATTTTGTGCACTGGGACTTCATCCTACACCGCTCTCCTCTTAAAGCTGGAAGAGCAAAGATGATCTTCATTTTTGTATCCTCCATAAATAGCGCAGGTTACACGTGTAAACAGATACTCCATAACGTTTGCTAAAGCCAAGCAAATGGAGTGAAGTCCACTAAAGTTTCATCATATAAGTCAACCTGGGAAAGACATTCAATATTTTGAAACCTTTTGAGAAGAATAAATAAATTGTTCAGAGTCTTAGCCTTTTCCTTTTATAATTTCTGGTTAAAACTAGTTCTTCGTGCACAGTTTCTAACTAACCCTTGGAAGAGTTCCTAGACAGCACCCTAATCCATCTGGGCCCGAAGATCAAGCCTGTAGGCTCACAGATGTAGCCCAGACTAGGGAGTGGAAGCAGATATCAGTAGGCACTACTCTGTTCTGGGATTCGCCACTACGTGTAAATGTTGACAATTATGTTTAAAAATAACTAACAACCCAAATGAAATACAGGATGGATTTGGATTTTTGAATTAACTGCTTGAGATACTGCTTGAGGAGAAAATCTAAGGCAATTAAACAAAAGAATCTCCAGATTTTGTTTCCATAAGAAACTTCCTCCGGAAATACTCTTCTCTAGGATTTGTTATTCTTTTGGTGTAAACTTAAAAAAAAGTTCCTGTTAAAAACGATCAAAGGGTCTCAGCATACAGGTTTTACAAAGGGACTGTGGGTATTTCAAAATTACAAAGCCTCCCTTTTAGGAGTCATGGTATCAACATGGGAATGGTCACAGTCTACTTCAAGAACAAGGCAAGAGCCCTAAGGTCAGCATGCTGAAGTAGCTATTCACGCAGAGCACTGACCAGAAGATAGATTATGCAACCAAACACTGAGAAAATGGAAATACTTAAAATCAGCAACTTCAAAAATGCTTCCACTTCCATTATGGTCTTTAAATGTGATTGTAAATTACAAGAATATACTTATATAGTTTTTAAGAACATATTATTATCCAGAAGAATTCAGCAGGAGGATTTCTGCTTCCTCCTATGATAGAGTAGCTTGCAGTCAGACCAAAGCTCCACAAAAACAGCTAGAAAAGCTGGATTAAAATATATCTGTGCAAAGGGCTTTGGAGAGCTATGGAGGCAACCAGGACTCAAGGGGCCAAGATCCAAAAGAGAAAGGAACCATAAAGAGGCGCTGAGACATTCTGAGAGCCACATCCCCTCCCCGCCCCCGATGAGAGGCTGAGAATCATGGCAGAGGACTTGAACAGGCTCCTCACAGAAATGGATATTTACATGGATAATAAACATTTGGAAAGGTACTCAAATCTTTGGCAATAGAAAATTCAACTTAAAACCACAGGCGATACCACTACACATTCACACAGAATAGCTAATTTTATTTATTTTTTAATGGCAGCACCAAGGGCTGGCAAGGACTTGGAATAACAGGAATTCTCATACAATACTAATGAAGGCAAATCATGCAATCACTTTGGGAAACTGCTTGGCACTTTATCCTAAGGCTAAATATGTGCATAACCTGTGATCCAGCAATTGTACTTGTAAGTATATATACAAGAAAAAAGTCTACATATGTTCAGCAAAAGACAGGTATGAGAATGTTCTCAACAGCATTACTTGTTAAAGCCTCGAACTAGATAAAAAATCAAATGTCCATCAATAATACAACAGATAAGCTTATTCTGGTACAGTCACACAATGGAATACTAAAGGGCAAAGAAAAAGAACAAACTATGGACTGCCATATGCAACAACATGAATGAAGGTAAACACCAAAGAATAATGATGATTCCATTTTATGTAAAGTTCAAAAGCCAGAAAAACCAAGGCCAGAGAGGTTGGAATCATGATTATCTTGGTAATGGGGATCAATGGCTGGGAAGGGTATAGTGAGTCTGCTGGTATACTATTTATCTTGACACGCGTGGCAGTTAAATGGGATGTGCACTTTGTAAACATTCATAGTGTGCAGTTATGTTTTGTGTGCTGATGCATTAGATGCCACGGCAAGCTGCAGATCCACTAACACCCATTTTCCTCCTCCTCCTCTTGGTTAATACAATACTATGGCCATGTTACACAACCTCTTGAGCACCATTTTTATAGACTCAATGTGAAAGTTTCTTTCTGGAGGAACTGTAGAAGGTGGGGACTCTGAATGTAACTCCCAGTTGTAGTTATGTGTATGGTTGTTCAGATAGAGATTGCTTTTGTCAGCTTCTTGTGTAGCTCAATATCACCATGTAACTAAGTGCTGGCTAATGGGATGGAAGCAGAAGTAAAAGTGTCATTTCTAGGTCTTTCTAGTAAGAAATCTGGTTGTACACTTCCCTGGCTCTTTCTTCCCTCCCTAAGGACTGGAAAATGGCCCGGTGAAAATAGCTGCCTTGGGCCCAGAGATAGAAGCCACGTGTTGAGGACGGCACAGCCCCCTATATCTGGACTGGTATGTGAGGAAGAATTAAGCTTCTAGCTGGTTTGAGCCACTGATTTTGGGGAGTCTCTTTGTTACAGAAGCTGAGATGGTACCCTAAATAACAGGCATTAAATCATGCCATTGAAGGTAGTTATGGTTTGAAACTTTGTGTAGTTGATCCCTGAACAACTCAAGGTCCATTTATACACAGATTTTTTTTGATAAGTACAGTACAGGACTATAAACATACTTTCTCTTCCTTATGATTTTATTAATAATTTTTTTCCTACCTTACTTTATTGTCAGAACACATTATATAAGACATATAACATACAAAATATGTGTTAATTAACAGTTTATGTTATTGGTAAGGCTTCCCAGTCAACAGTGGGCTATTAGTAATTAAGTTTCTGGGGAGTGAAAAGTTATACACAGATTTTCAACTGCATAGGTGGTTGATGCCCCTAACCTCTCCCCGAACCCCCAATGTGTTATTCAAGGGTCAACCATACTTTTACCGTTCATTATTTGTCAAAGACAATAGTATCTTTAATTGCTTTGTTGTCAGTGAGCCACCACAAAACCTAGAGGTGACTCTAGAAAAAAGCACAGTGCAAGGGAAAGAATATTTTCTCATGAGGAAGCTGAGAGTACCCTTCTATTTCTGCCTCTAGTGATATGGGACTTAGTTTTTTTTTTTTTAAAGATTGATTTGTTTTAGAGAGAGAGAGAGCGCACAGGGGGAGGGGCAGAAAAAGAGGGAGACAGAGAATCCTCAAGCAGACTCCCCCCTAAGCATGGAGCCCAACACAGGGCTTGATCCCAGGACCCTGAGATCATGACCCAAGCCAAAAGCAAAAGTTGGCCACTTAACCGACTGAGCCATCCAGGCACCCCAGGACTTGGTTCTTTTAACCTGTAAAATATGAAGGTGTCTGGATGTCCCCAATGATCTCGTCTGTGTCTAACATTCTTTGACTTTCCGAAAAAGACTTAATGACCCTCACGCAATTACGGTTGGCTGGAGGCCTCAGTGGGAAAAGGCCTATGCTCCTGTGACATCCTTGTACATATGACTTGGGGGAAGCCTTTTCAGATATGGAGAACAATGCTTTTTATTATGTAGACTGTTTGTAGAATTGAATCACAATAAACTGTACATTTTCTAGGTGCTCTCTTTAGTTATCCCAGCATCAATAAGCACCAAATATTAACAACAGCAAAAAGGAGTGTCTTTAAAACACGAAGCATTAATGACCCTTTGTGCATCAAGGTATCTTGAATTAATGTAGCCAAATGGAAATAAGGACAGAAGAAGAGGATTAGTCAACAGACAGATATGCTTTGGATGCTGAATCCAAAGAAACAAATGGGTTTCTTTTCTTTCTAAATCCTTCAGGGGCCTATTAGTTGACATATGACCTAAGAGTTGGGTTTGTGTTTTTTTAAAGGAATACATTTGCAGTATTTTGTGAGACAGTGAATGATGTTTGTTAGTATACAGGTGACACTAAAAAAAAAAAAAATCCTCTATACTTTATATGGTTTAACTATATACAAGTTATCTTACCTGGGGGTTTTTAAATACAGCATATTTTTCCTCTTTCTCCAGAAACAGCACTTTATTTTCTGTGTCTCTTGTCCAGTCTGATAAGACTTCAACAACATTTTCATGGTCTTCAAAAATCCTTTCTGATGAAACAAGAAAAAGCATTCTTTTGGACCCAAAACATTAGGCTTTCCAACAGAGAAATAAGCTAGTACTAAGTTAAACACAATGCTTCCAACCTTTCATTGGTTTTTAGAAATTCCTAATTCTTACATGATGTCATATTGTAACACCCCTATTACATTTCTTATTCAGTATCAGGTCAACTTATTTGCCATAAAAAAAAAACATGGCAGATGAACATACAATATCGTGATAATGGCCAGTCACTGCACTTTTTTCTTATTAGCATTTCTGACTTTAAATAGTCCCAGATGGAGGTAAACATCCTATCCGTAAGGAGGACCATGAAGCAATAATTGGCCAAACAACTCTGAATGAAATTGGGAGACATCTGATATGTTCTCTAAAACATCACCCCTGAAGACTCTAAAAACAATGTATGCATATCTGAACCAAACCTAAACATAAAGGAAGGCTTTCATTTCTCTATTTGACTCAGAGAGTTAAAAAGTATTTCAAGAGATTTCAGTGTAGAACTTTTACTTCAGAAAAAAAAAAATTCACTGAAAGCTTCTAAAGCAGGCAATTCTGTATTCCACCAAGCTCTCCTGAGAGAAAAAACTGTTCTGAGTGACCTTAACAATGAGAAGGAGAAGTAACAAGAATGTTTCTTTAATTGCTTTTTTACTTTTTTTTTTTTTAAACTCCATTAATTTCTACCAACTGTCTTTTGCTCTTTGGGGCTAAGCCTCGTCAAGTCGACAAAGTGAGTGGGGATGGTGGAGGAGAAATGAACATTGATGTACGGCAGAGTTACGCTATAGTTTAAAGAAGCAAACGCTAAAGAGATATTAGCTGCAGATACGCAGGCCCTCCCACAATCTGCTCAATTTACTAAGCATGCAGCAAGAAGTATCATCCTGTCACTTTGTTTTCCTTATGGAACCACCAGAGAAGTGGCAATAATAATGCTGACATCTCAGGGGGGCCTGGGTGGCTCAGTCGTTAAGCCTCTGCCTTTGGCTCAGGTCATGACCCCGGGGTCCTGGGATCGAGCCCCGCATCGGGCTCCCTGCTCCGCAGGAAGCCTGCTTCTCCCTCTCCCACTCCCCCTGCTTGTGTTCCCTCTCTCACTGTGTCTCTCTCTGTCAAATAAATAAATAAAATCTTGAAAAAAAAGATAATCCTGACCTCCCCCAAGGTGTGGCCACTTGCAACAATCCGAGTCTCTTCACCACAGAGAAATGAAGAGGCAAGCACTGAATCTGACATAAGGGGAGTGATTTGTGCCAAGTCTTGATAGCCTTGAACCAAATTCTTCTTAATAATAGACCAAAACCCATCATAAAGCAAACCCACAGGTTTCTGGAGCAGTCTATTATGGGGGATGGGACTTACCAATTTGCAGTTCTGTGTATATTTCATAAAGACACCAGTCTACGTTGCAGTCACAATGGGTTTTCTCAAAAAGGTTGTCTAGAACGTCTCGGGCCAATTGCCGCTCATCCACCATCAGTGACTTAGTGCTGTTATCATTCATGTGCACCCTGACAACAAGCTGAGGATAGAGCCACAGAGCAGCCAGTAAATTTCTGCAACTGGAGAAGGCCACGGAGATTAAGGTTTCAAAGCTCTACCGTCTCTGCGAATTTAAGTAAGAATGGGTCCTGCAAAGTCACTCAATATGAATTCAGATGCTCAGTACTTGTCTAAGGTGCTAAGAATATAGAGGTCGAGAAACCAATTCACAAAAAACAAAACAAAACCAAAACCCCCACTCATAATAAAGTCTTTGCCCAGCCTTCGGACGCTCTGCATTCTGGTGAAGGAGACAGGAAACAAGCAGAATCAAAGAAGTGCTGACTTCCCACTTTCATGACATCTTTCTGGCACTTGTCCAGGTTCATCCTGGAGCCCAGAAGCATGTCTTGATTCAAAGTGTGTCTATAATAAATTCTTCTCTTTTGTTTAGCTGGAGCTGAGTCCTATTTCATGCAACCCGAGGGTTCTGATACTGGCAAGACCAAGCTGGTTACTCTATAATTGTTTTGAAGGTCAGGGTACAAGGGACACAGAACCACTGAGAGGCCTGACGGGGGCCGAACAGGCTGTGCCACAGCAGAACATGTTTGAGATTAGAGGTGGATTGAGCAAAATGAATGAAGACTGAGAAACAAGCTATTAGGGAGGCATGCAGGCAAATCAGCGATCAAATTTACTTTTCATTTCAGTTTTTAAAAATTCTACTGTACTGATTTCACAGTCAAATTAGTCATTATCCCATTCCAAATCTGGAGGGTCTGATGGCAGCAGAGTTTACTTATCTTCAAAAAGACATAGGATTTCACTGTTTTTTTCCCCAGGCAACTTGGCAAAGTTATTAAATCTTCTGACCCCCCCAGAGAGACCATGATTCTGATGTAATATAACAGAATTAATTCATGATGTAATACAGCTAGGGTCTGAATTTTTCCTGACACCTGTGCATTTGTAGTGTGTTTCTAATTACGGTAGTTGTTATTTATGAGTGCTACCGGTTACAATGGGGCTATATACCCAGTCTTCAAAAGGAACAATGGAAATGTGCCCACTAAGCCTTAATTTATGTTTAGGGAAGATTTCCTAGAACTCCTTCTGGGAAGACCCGTGCTTTTATTTTATTCTTTACCAAGATCACTGATCCTACCTAATTAAGTGGGAAGTAGGTTTAGAGTCAATCAAGTTGGAGTCTATCTTTGATTGCAAGGCCCGAAGGAAGTGTCGCGCTTCCCTTTTCACACAGCGCTGCTTGCCCATCAGCCCGCCGTGCCTGCAACTACACACACAACGCACACCAGCGGAGGACGCCTGGAAACATCGTCCGTCAGAACCACCTGATACTACCCTTGCTTGAATTTCTATTCTAACTTGAAAAGAGAAGTGTGAAATAGCTAAAGACAAGTTCTGCCTATTCTGTTTGTCTAGGGTTGGCGCTGGCTACTCACAAGTGAGACTTATCCCTACGAAAAATGTGAACAGATGGACTGGAGAGGCCACACAATTGGTAACATTTCTTCCTCCCCAAAAGTTTGGGTTAGGTTCTGAGCCGCTGAGAAACTGCCTCTCCTGTCCCACTTCCACGCAATCTGATCTTGAACGCGTTCTGTAGTGTACAGAATGAAGAGCACAGTTCCTGTGGATTGTTATGCACAGTTATGGAAAACAACTGAGGGTTTGGGTGGAGATAGAAATCTGGGCGAGGGGCTGGCAGGGACCACAAACTGAAGCACTCATATATGCCTTCTCTTTTCAACACCTGCACACAGAGAGTCAAAACACAGGCATCAGGGCAGTAAAAGTGCATTTCCTCTCCCCAGGATCATTCAAATTAGACCTTTACTCCAGGCTTGTCTGAAAAATACTTTTTTCTCCCTTTAAAATCTATAAAACCTGTAGCCCAGAAACTTCTTGTTGGATAGTTGCTTTTTTTTTTTTTATTGTATGTTTGTCTTTTGATGTATTTAGAATGATAGGCCCAAGTGCCACAATGTCAAAGATACACTCATCTGACCTGAGAAATGAAGCATGGAGGGTTGCACAGAAAAAACAGAAAATCCTCAAATAGTGGGCTTTACTATGATTTATTTTCTGTGTGTAGAAGGCATACTGACTGCTCTCTGCTGAGAATTATTGCTATGGAGTAGCTACGTGTCCTAAGAAACACTGCCAATATTAGGATTGAGAAGACTTAATCTCCCTGAGGGAATAATTTAATGATGTTTGACCACATTTCATTTTTGCATAGGGATTCTTGAGAAAATAAAACATATGTTTGTGTTTTGTTTTGTTTTTATATAGAGAAAAAAAACCTAAACCACATAATTTGACAGTGATGAAAGGTTGTTTTTTTAAATTCTTTTGGCAGAAATTGCAAACTAAATTTAATCCACATGTAGTTACGAATATCTACAATTACAGAACTTAGAAAATAAAAAAACCAAGAGAAGGCTGGGGACTTTTAGCAAGAAGAAATTATATTTACTATTCTTCACAGCTTCTATCACATTTACAAGCTGAAGAGTAGCTATACCAACACATAATATTGCTAGATCCCAGTTATATGTGATTCAGCAAACAGAGCGCTTTTCATATCTACGCTGTTTGATAGAGGGTAGAATGACTTAAGCATGGAAAAACCTCCCCTTTCTAATCTGTTACAGTAAAGACTTTATGGTTTTTATAATTTCTCCTTTTTTCTTTGCAAGTTGTTAAATAAAAGAATTTCCTAGACCTAAATCCTTTATAGGTTTTTTGCTTCTGGGCTAAAATGTACACATGGAGTTGTTCTCCTGTGTCACAGAGCTTTAAAACAAATGAACAAACATATGAAATTCACGAGTTTCCAGTTCCAAAAGCTTTGTAATGTAAGCTGTGTACATCATTCGCAATCCAAAATGATATCAACACCCCACAGAACACTTGAGGGCCAAGTACGTCAAACAGACTTGATTTCCACATTGCAGATTATGTATGAGCACATCTCAGTTATTCAGTAATGTGCAAGTATGTCTCAGTTATGCTCACAGGCTTTTGTTTTAAGAGATACATTTGGAGCGTCTGAAATCAGACCAAATATTCAACTTGGCTTCTTCATTTTCTTTATTTTCCCACTGATCAGAGTGGCTTCTGTTTTACATCTTCTTTGTTGAATGAAAATAGATCATGCTTTGTGTTTACTGTTGCAATTCACCCACCTAAGTTATGGAGAAGTTCTCTGGCTTTCTGATACACCGCAGGAAACAGGTGTCATCTCCTACCCGTCTCTTAACCTCCAGTTGAAGCAAATCGACTCACTAAGCTAGTTGTCCTACCTTTTCATCTAACAATCAACTTCTCTTTTCACTTCCCCTCTGAAAATACAGCCAATGTGGCCCCCTTTTTATAGACAATCCAGTGGTTTAAAATAGTTTAAGTAATTACAAATTTTCTTTTTACTCATTTCCTTTTGTGTTTTCATCTTACAGGTAAAGTCAGCAACCCAGTGCAGCCCATGTTCGTGGACAGTGAGCTGCTGTGCTAGGTGGGCTGTACAACAGGCCACCCTGCCTGTCATCTTTCCCCCTACAATCCATTTTCCACAAAGCAGCCAGGATGATCTTTAAAAATCAGATATTAGGGGCACCTGGGTGGCTCAGTCGCTAAGCATCTGCCTTCGGCTCAGGTCATGATCCCGGGGTCCTAAGATCGAGCCCCGCATCAGGCTCCCTGCTCAGCGGGAAGCCTGCTTCTCCCTCTCCCACTCCCCCTGCTTGTGTTCCCTCTCTCGCTGTGTCTCTCTCTGTCAAATAAATAAAAATAAAATCTTTAAAAAAAAATCAGATATTATCCCCAGTTAAAAACCCTCAAATGGCTTCCCAAGGCACTTATAATATATTCCAGACTCTTTCTTGGGACTGTGAGGCTGTGTGGCCTGGCCTGCCTCTCTGACCTCAAATCCTCCTCCACTTTCCCTCCTACTCAGTGGCTCTCCGAGCAGTGGCCATATAGCCCTGCCCAGGATGCTCCCTCACCCTGTCCCTGGGGAGCTGGCCTGTTCTTGCTGCCAAGGTCTTTGCTCAAGTGCTGCCTCCTCAGAGAGGCCTCCCCCATCACTAGATCCATTTAGAAGTGACTCAGGCACTCTCCATCACTTGTTTCTGCTTTACTTTCTTCCTAACACTTACTCCTCCTCTAGAATTTAACTCTAGGTAGGCAGGGACCACACCTGAACTGGTTTACCTCTGTAAACCCAGAACCTGTTCTATAAGATGGGGATGCATCAGTGAAGAAAACACCAAAATCCCTGCAAGAATTTCTGTGGGGGTGGGGAGGGGAAGTAGGCAATAAATAGGCTAAACAAGTAGAGTGGATATTATGTTGGATGGTGATAAGCACTGAGGAGAAAAAGAAAGTAGGGAAGGGGTGTGGGTACTGGGGGTGTATGTGCAATGCCAGATGGAGAAGGCCTTACTGAGCAGGTGACCAGACCTAGGGGAGAAACAGAGAAAACCCACTGGAATCTGGGGAAGAGCTTTCAAGGCAGGGCACCATAAAGCATAAAGTTAAAAACTGAACCCAAAGGTCCTGAGGCCAGGGCATACCTGGAGTGTCTGAAGAGCAGTGGTGAGACCAGGTAGCGAGAATGGGGTAGGTGGTGGGGGACAGTGGGCAGCCAGACCATTTAGGGGCTTTAAGCTGCTATGAGGATTGGGCTTTTCTGGTGAGATGGGGTGCCGTGGGAGGCTTTAGCTTGGGAGGGATGAGAAGACAGGACAGGAACTGGAGCATACATAGAAACGTAACAGTTCATCCACAGTAACAGGAAAGACTATGGACTATTTGTCACAGGTGCAGGCAGGCAGGAAGGTAAATGTGTCGGGAGCTTATGGACCCTTCCTTCTGAGTACTTCTATTTTCTTAGTGCCACGGGCAGCAATATCATTAGCTGGGAGAATGTGGATGAGGAAAGAGGTATTGGAGGTTTTAAAGTAGAAGACAGATAGAAATCATTTCCTCGGTAGCGGTTAGTGGGTGAGTGAGTGCGCTGTTGGGAAGCCCTGGGCAGTGCTGAGAGCCCAGGTGAGTGGGAGGAGAGCTGGATTTAGGGTTTAACAAGGTGAGTACGAGGGGAGAGAAGGGCAAGGCAGCTGAGGATGTGAGATTCCGGTAACTGACCACAGGATTTAATCATAAGTAGAGAACTGGAAAGAATAATGGTAAAAAAGTTCATGCATGTTTAGAATGACTGGGACCAGACTGATCTGGGAAGACCCTCCTAGATGAACCCTGAAGGTCTGGATCCAGGGATAGTCAAGGACTATTTACTGAATATCATTCAACATGTACTGAACACCTTCATTCAAGGAACCATGAGAGGTGCTGTAGGAACAGAAAGTCTAATGCTCTTCACCCAGCTAGAAGTAAAAATTCTTACGTGGTCTCAGACATGATATATGCTTCAGGAACTGAAATAAGACTGTTTCAACTTTCTCCTAAGTAACCAAATTGACTATTATTAACACGTAACTGTTTTTAGGTATGTGCTTCTACTGAGGTTAATTACATGTGTTTCTGTTATAATATCTGTGTTCCTAGAAAACCTACAGTCTACAGAAAACACTCAGTAAAATTGCAGGCTTATTGGAAAAATAGGATTAAGCAGGTCACTCAAAATTTATGCAACTTTGAACCCAGAGCACTAGCCAAAACAACATTTGGGATCTCGGGACATAACCAGGACATCTAGGGTGGCCAGCAGGGCTGGAGGCTACCTCAGGGGTTATGAAAACTGCACATAAGCAATCGTGGAAATGCTAAGGCGAGGCCAATGGAAGCTGAGCTCTGACCCAGTAAAGGCGGGTCCAGACGGTGGCGCCAGGACACCTGAGCAGAACCCAAGAGGGTGCGCCCCCAGGGGAGGGAGCCCTGGGAGTGGAAACTTGGAATCTTCCACATTTACACTAACATAGGTCCTGATTTATCGGTCACAAATGAGCTAACTGATGTCACAGAAAGAATAACCATGTAATTATCTTTGTACTAAAATTTAAAAAATTACAACTATTTAGAAAACCCTCAAAATTTTATTTATTTATTTTTATCATTAAGCATAGTACCATGTTATTAATTTAACTGCCCCATGTAAAAGTGATTGACAGTTTACCTTCTTGACCTTGGCCTCCTTCAGTTTTTCCAATGCTAGCTTAATTTTATCAGCCTTGGCTTGGGCTGCTTCTTCTTCCTGTAAAACAGCAAGACATTCAACACTGTCCACTAGAAAACAGTAGTGAGGAAGTAGCCATGCCATGGCTAACGAACGTCTCAGTTACTTTATGCTGACAAAAGGCTGTGTTAGGGGGCACCAAATTTCACACTTGATTTTCAGAATTCAAATGACTATAACAAAAATCTTCGGCCCAAAGATGTAGAAGGCAGTCACCCTTTATATCTTAGAGACAGTAACCTCAAAGATAAAATGACGACTCTAAAAAGGCCTCACATGTGGACTCCACAAAAAACTGAGTGACTCAAAACTGGGGTCTCACTTGAGGAATCTGCTAGTGAACTCAAGGGATTTGAGCACTCCTTGAAATTACACACATTCTTCTGGATCAGTGTGCGTTTTCTGGAATTCCTAGTTTTTATTCATACCTAAAGGGGGACTTACCTTCCTGTAAGTTAAGACTTAGACTCAAACTTAAACTTATAATTCACCAAGAAAACACTGACAAACACTTGAGTAGGCAGAAAAGAGACTGAAATATTTTATGAGCCCAAAAGCCTTTGATTTTTTGTAAGTAAATATTCTAAGAATAGGATTATTAAGGCTCTCTTACCTATTTATTTTTTATTTTTAAAATTTAAGTTCAATAGCCAACACATTATTTATTTATTTATTATTTATATTATTGTTATGTTCAATTAACCAGCATATAGTACATCAATAATTTTTGATGTCGTGATCAAGGATTCATTAGTTGACTATAACACCCAGTGCTCATCACATCATGTGCCCTTCTTAATGCCCATCACTGGGTTACCCCATCACCCCACCCATGTCCCTTTCCACAACCCTCAGTTTGGTTCCCGGAGTCCAGAGTCTCTCATGGTTTGTCTCCCTCTCTGATTTCTTCCCGTTCAGTTTTCTTCTACCTATTTATAATGATGAGGAATGAGCTGTTCTGGTTACTTTCTAATTACTTGAAAGCAGATATACATCTTTTTACACCAGTGATTCTTAATTTTTTTTTTTTTTTTGAGCCACCAACCCCTTTAGGAATATGTTGAAAGCCATGAAGCCCATAAAGCCTTACATGGGTATTCAACTTTGCATATACTTTCAGGAAATCATGGCCTCCTTGAAATCTTCATGGACACTACATTAAGAGCCTCTGCTCTTTAGAATGGCAGTTGTCCAAGAGACAAGAGAAAGCAAGTGTTGGGGAGGATGTGGAGAAAAAGAGAACCCCTTTGCACTGTTGGTAGGATTGTAAATTGGTGCAGCCACTATGGAAAACAGTATGGAGGTTCTTTAAAGAACGAAAAATAGAAATACCCTATGATCCAAAAATTCCACTTCTGGGTATATATCCAAAGAAAATGAAATCACTCTCTTGAAGACATCTGCATTCCCGTGTTCACTGCAGCATTATTCACAATAGCCAAGACATAGAAACAAACTAGTGTCCGTTGATGGGTGAATGGATAAAAGAAATGTAGTATATATACAATGGAATATATTTTGCCATAAAAAAAGGATGAAATTTTGCCATGTGCAACAACATGGATGGATCTAAAGGGTTTATGCTAAGTGAAATAAGTCAGAGAAAGACAGATACCATATGATTTCACTTATCTGTGGAATCTAAAAAAGTTGAACTCAGAGAAACAGAAAGTAGAATGGTGGTTGCCAGGGGTTGGGAGAGGGTGGGGAAATGGGGTGATGTTGGTCAAAGGGTACAAACTTCTAGTTATAAGAAAATAAGTTCTGGGAATCTTATGATGTACAGCATGGTTACTATAGTCAACAATACTGTATTGTGTACTTGAAAGTTGCTAAGAGAGTACATCTTAAGTGTTCTCACCACATACACATGCATGCACACATGCATACACACAAAGGTAATGTGAAGTGATGGAGGTGTGACTAACTTTGTTATGGTAATCACATTGCAGTATGTGTGTGTATCAAATCATTACATTATACGCCTTAAACTTATATAATGTTATATGTCAATTATAAAATAAAGCTGGGGAATAAAGGAGTCTCTGCTCTACACGGATCACTAATTTTTAAATAATATTTCTACAATAAATACACAATAGAACAATGAGCATGATAGAATATGACTTACTATTTGATATATATTTAATATTTGTTCATTCAAAAGGCACTGTAGAAACTTTCAGGGTTACTAGGGTCATATTTATGAATACCAATCATCATCACAAAGTACAACAAATGTGGAAGCAGAAGGAAATAGAGCTGAGTTCTTACATTAAAATATTTTTCAAGTGGCTTCCCATAAGAAAAATCCTTAAAAGTGCTCTTTTTACTTGCATGAGAGACATAAGTTAATGTCCCAAATAATGATGATATGAATTTTCCCAGATGTATGGCTTCCCAGTGTTCAGAAATTTATTAATACCGAGCACTCATCATCACCTGCCTGGTCTACGACAACTTCTCCACCCAACTACGACACTACCATGATTCACAGGTATCTTTGCCCTACTGAACAGAGCTGCCAAATTCAACAAAATTCCATTTAATTAAATTCAGAAGTATGTAAGGAATGCTTTCAATTCTTTACATACCGGGGTAGCACCAAGGACAGAGACACATATATCAATTCCACAGTTCATGCCAAGTTAATAAAACATTACCCCAAAATGTTGAGTACTATCAGGGAACACTGCATACAAATATAAATTTTAGCCAAGCTATGTTAACTCCTGAATATGGCCCCAATATGTTCTTTATTCACACCAATGTGTCTTTTTATGGACGATTCTGGCTTTGCAATGAATGTACTCTGTATCCTTGTTTTTTAAGTATCTCAGAACTCCAGATACTTATGAATATAACTGTCATTTTGAAGAAAGTCAAAGATCATGGGTAGCAGAGGCCAAGAGTCCTGCCATCTTTGCCCCACACACTTACCTGAGAGAGAGGTTCAGGAGGTGGTGGTGGCAGAGGAAGGTCTAACATGGGATCAGCTGGTGGAGGTGGTAAGTCATCCTCATATTGGCTAACACTAACGGCAGCAACACTTGCTCCATAACCAAGAGCCGCTGCCCCGCTGAAATCTGGTACCTCCAGGGATGCTGGATGATGCTGATTCTGACAGGACTCTTTCTGTGCCTGAATTGTCCTCTGCTCAGCCTCGCTTATATCTGCCACCAGATCCGCCATGAGAGCATCTAAATCTTGGTCTTCCAGTGCATTTAAGGACTCTGATGGGGGAAAATCATGTTAATGATCAAAACAACAATTTATGCCTAGAAAAACTGAAAGGAGGTCATTTTTAAGAGTGATATTTGGGTACTGGTTGTCAGGGGCTGGTGGGGGGGCGTGTGGGAAATCAGGAGAGGTTGGCGAAAGGGTGTAAACTTTCAGTAGTAAAGATGAATAAGGTCTGAGGATCTAACGTATCTAACACGGTGACTATGGTTGATAACACTATTGTATAAGTGAAATTTGCTGAGGGAGTAGAACTTAAATGTTCTCAACAACAATATCCAAAAGGGTAAATATGATGAGGTGATGGATGTGTTAATTAACTCAATGGAGGAAATCCTTTCACCAGGGATACATACATCAAGTCATCACATTGTACACTTTAAACGTCTTACAATTTTGTCAATTAAACCTCAACAAAGCTGAATTCCTCCCCCCACTAAATAAAAGGAGAAAAATATGTTTGCTACCCTCACAGATTAGCTATAAGTCAGATCCAAGCACATGATTAGCTGTCTAAGTAGGAATTCTTATATATTCTGGTGCAAGATCTGAGAGTTTTAGAAAAGTAGGGGAGGGGAGATGTTGGAAACAGACTGAAGGGGAGTTTTTCCCAGGTCTTAGGGGGACAGACAGAGTACCACTGATAAATATACTTGGAAGAAAGTAGGTCTCAACCAACTGGGGTTTAATAGGATTTAAGACCTTTGGTAGGGATAAAGCCTCTGTAGGGACACCATCCAACTATGGAAACTCTCAGATTCAAAGAAAGAACAATTAATGATAAACAGCAGGAAATAAAGCACTAAGGAGGTTGAAGTAAAAAATAATTTTTAAAAACTGGGCTTATGTGGTAAAGACTTCGTAAGATGGTGAGCTGAGAGTTAACTTTTAGGAAAAGGGCAGACATAGATTTTCAGAGTGAGGGTGAGGGAGGACAGTTCTCATTGGAATTTCTTCCATGTGATTGGATCAGACGTGTGATCCTGAAAGCTGACCTATGGTGAGGCCTATGGGTCGTGGGGTCAGTGAGTGGTGTTAGCAGAGTGCTCTTGTGATCAGGCATGCACTGGATAGCAAAGGTAATGAACACAAGATGGACTGGATCTTGAAGTGACCCACGAGGAAGAGGATTCACCTGCTGTGTGTAGGATGAACTGGAATGAGGAAATGCAGCCTACTCAGCAACAGGCATGAGGCTTTGTGAAAGAATTTATTGCCAAACATCACTGTATTAAATACCATGTAGCCTACTGTACTCATGCTAATAGTTCTAGTGTATAGCCCTTGGACTAAGGTCTGGATCTCCAATCTGAGTAAAAAGGATTTATTTTCTTCTAAGCAAGTTTTGCATATGACTTCTTCATAAAATTAAATTAACTTAAAATTTTTGCAGAGAAAATATATGTAGAACAAATGAAGCTCATTCACAATTTCCTAATGCCAGCAATTATATGGTGACTGTTGCCATATAAGCAAATGATTTTAATCCTTTATAAAAATTTTAGGGACAAAGTTCCCATAATAATTCTCATATTAACAACTTCCAAAGCAAATCATAATTCTAACTATATCTATATAAATTGAGCAATATGGAATTGGGGAAAAAGAATGACATGGATTCTGTTGAGAAGTCTGTCACTAACTCTCTGAATGACTTTGAGCAAAGTATTTTAAACTCATTTTGGCAATGTTTTAAGTGAAGACAATAAAACACATTTCTTTTCTAATTCCCAACACATTTATTTTTCAGTACGTATCAGTACTTTTTAATAGTTTTGACGTAGACCCAAATTGTGCCACAGGTATGCGTCACATCTCCTTAAGGACATGAGTTTTTTGTTACTGTACTTTAACATTGCTATGTTTATATATTGCTGGGTTTCTTTGTTTCTGTCATTTTCAGTAATTTTTGGATACTAGATACTGAGTGCTTAGAAAGCATTAGTTGAGGGGCGCCTGGGTGGCTCAGTTGTTAAGCGTCTGCCTTCTGCTCAGGTCATGATCCCAGGATCCTGGGATCGAGCCCCGCGTCGGGCTCCCTGTTTGGCAGGAAGCCTGCTTCTCTCACCCCTGCTCCCCTGCTTATGTTCCCTCTCTCGCTGTGTCTCTCTGTCAAATAAATGAATAAAATCTTAAAAAAAAAGCAAAAAAAAGCATTAGTTGAGTTGACTATAATTGCAGTATTAATTTTAATTGAATTGTTTAAAACTCAGCCATTGTGAGCGTGATGAGGCAAATCTGCATTGTTTATATGTGCAAGTATATGTTACTTATTAATTAATGTCATACATTTTACCAAAGTGTATTGCTTTTTTGAAATTTCATGAGTGTTACCATCATTCGTGATGGAAATGATTGACAGGAACAGTAAATTTATATGGCAAACAGAAAAGAAGGTGGGAAAAGAAGTCAGAAGAGATGTATTATAATTTATCCAGATACAGGCACTGGCACATAAGGGTTTATAAAAAAAATTATTGAAAATAACAGAAGCAAAGAAACCCAGTGAGTGACAGAAATAAAACTTGGAATTTTGGATTTCTGTAACTGGGCTTCTCCAATATTTTGTTTTTCATTTTTTCGGTGGGTACTGCCAGTCTCTAGAAAATCTTTTTCAAGAGTTGCAATGAATTCTCATTAACTTGGAAGCAATTAGTTCAAGATTCATTGTAATTTGAATAGCACATGGGCTATTGTCTCCACACTAAATAAGAAGAGAGATTTTTGTTAATAAAATAATGTGACCATCTCAGGGAGGATAAAAAAATGTCAGAGCAAATATATATTAATTATATATCAATTAAAATATATTTTGAAGCATCTATTCATATATTATCAATCATTTTGAAATGGATAATTCATTATTACTCTTGAAGGGATATTTCCTTATTAATAGTTTTTTACTCTACTGTATCTTATTACTCTCAGGGTTTAGTAATAAGGAGAAACTCCCTTTACTTAAAAAAATAGTTTTGATACTTCACATAAATGCAGGATATAGTATTCCCTTTCATCGTAAGCAAAAATACCTTCTTGGGGCCCAATTTAATCCAGACACCATAAAACACAATCTGAAATCCAGGACTTTAAAACGTCCAGGTTCCTTACATTTTTGTTTTCAAATCATAGTTCTGTACAGATTTTAGTCATCATTATCATCTCAAATTACTTAAGAAAAGAAATTATTATGCTTACCATTTAAATCTTTAAAACCCACACTGTAGTTAAATTCAGCTCTGGGTGGTTTGGGGTCCGGAGGAGGAAGAGTGTCAACTCCTAAACTCTGTGAAAATAGATCCCCGCCCCCAAAGTTATTCACCATACGAACACGTTTGCAGTGTATTTTATTTATTTTATTTATTTTATTTTTTTAAAGATTTTATTTATTTATTTGAGAGAGAGAATGAGATAGAGAGAGCATGAGAGGGGGGAGGGTCAGAGGGAGAAGCAGACTCCCCGCCAAGCAGGGAGCCCGATGCGGGACTCGATCCCGGGACTCCAGGATCATGACCTGAGCCGAAGGTAATGTCTTAACCAATTGAGCCACCCAGGCGCCCTGCAGTGTATTTTAATCATTAAGTCAAAAATCATTTATTGTTTACACATTTTCTTTCTGAAGATGTTAAGAACTGTATTCTTACACGAAAATGTTTTATGTGATTTTTTTTCCCCTACAGAAAATTACAACTTAAAGTTTGCTCTACAAGGGGCGCCTGGGTGGCTCAGTCGTTAAGCGTCTGCCTTCGGCTCAGGTCATGATCCCTCTCCCACTCGCCCTGCTTGTGTTCCCTCTCTCTCTCTCTGTCAAATAAATAAATAAAACCTTTAAAAAAAATTGTTCTACAAGGTACATCTTGAAATAAAACCAGATCAACGAAGAATGATGAGCATGAGATAGTTCATTTTTATAAATAACAGAAAAAAATCTCCTGTAATGGTGATTTGTGACACATACACTGTATGCAATTCTATAAGGACTTTAGTAATGACATCAGAGAAAAGGAATGTCTAGTCACTTGGAAGATAAAAGTTGTTTCAGGATGAATCTGCCATTAGATAGTAAAATGTTACACAGTTACTCTTACCTAATAAAAATTGTTAGAAAGAAATTAAGACAGAATAAGTTATTAATTGTGTAAATAATGGTTTTTAATTGAAAAAGTGACTTCCTATATGATTTAAAGGCTGTAATACATATACAATCTAAATTTTCAAAATGCTTTTATGTCTATAGTTTGAAACGTGATTTCCCCCACTCTGAAACATGAACATTTTCATGACAGTGAGTGCATCCTTTGATGCTAACTTGATTTGGTAAATAATATCCTTGTTTATGTCTTAAATTTCTGAATGAAAAGAATCATTATATGTATGAGAATAAAGTATTGGGATATCCTCAATTATAAGTAGAAACAAAAAAAAGACCACTAATCAAGAAGTTAAAACAATTAATCCAAGCAAATTAGAATCAAAGATAAAAAGTAGGGAAAAGTGACTGCAGTCCCAGAATTCAATCTGAAAAACAGAACCAGCAAAATTGTGGTGAAGAGGGGAGGATGACAGATGAACTAGGGGGCAAATACCAGAAAAAAAATTTAGTGAGATAAAGTACAAAGAAATTCATTAATGAGTTCGTTCGCTGTGACTAAGAAGTCTAACATCACAATTAGGGCACAATTAATCTTTGCTCAGGATATAATTTACTATGGTATTCAAAGAAATTAGAAGTAGTTCTCTAACAAAATATTAATACATAAATGTGTGATAAAACAAGCTTCCAGTAAAATGTAGAGAGAGAGAAAAAAGAGAGGAGACTCATTTCCAGAAGGAGCTCCCTTCATCATAGGAAGGTCATTCAAAGCCCAATGTGAAGTAAAGAATGTAGCACGTTCTCCACGTGTCTGGTGATTTTAGGTGATATACAAACACACAATTAAAATTTAAATTATTGTGTATCTCTTTGGATGTTTGTGAAAAAATTAAGCTAGAACATCTAACCTACTTGAGATAAAGTTTAATTTTAAAAATCAATTAAAGACAAATATTAACAAAAACAATAGGACAGATGGGTTGCAACATGGCAAAAATCATGAAGGTGATAATGTGAATGACTAAAGATTGGGAACACTGCTCTGTACCCACTAACTTCTGAAAATTTATTTCATCAGAAGTTGAATAATGGTGATTTTCTAACTCTTTACTCCTTTTCAATGTTTAATTGGAATTCTATGATAAAGAAGAACTTTCTTGGGGCCCCTGGCTGGCTTAGGTCCGTAGGGTGTGTGACTCTTGATCTCAGTGTTGTGAGTTCGAGCCTCATGTTGGATGTGGAGATTGTTTAAAAATAAAATCTTAAAAAAGATAAAGGAGAACGTTCTCTCATCAATTATTTGTTTAGTCTGAAATATAGTTTGGGACCATAAAAAGACTAAGATAAATGCTTGGTTCTTTATCAATTTTCAGAGTAGTAACTTAATGCTCTGTCAATTTCCAATGACGACAGATAAAGTAGTTTTGTTTTTGTTATTTTTGTTTATTCTTGGTATCAATATGAACTCAGAGTTTGTTTTTTTGCCATGTTAGATATTTAAAATTTTTATATTTAAATATTTCCTTCTTTCTTTCATGGCTTTTGGGTGTCCTATCTTGCTTAGGAAAGCTACCCACATCTTAAGGTTGGATAAACATTTTTCTCATGTTTTCTTCTCTCTATATATATTTCATATATTTAGATCTTTGACTCACAGAACTCATTTTGGTATAAGGTATGAAGTAGAAATTCAGCTTTTGATTTTCCAGACATTCTCCCAACACAATTTATTACATAGTTCTCTTTTTCCTACTTATTTAAAATGCCACTTTTATCATATTTTAAATTCTTGTATATATTTGGATCTAATTCTGCGTCATGAATCTGTCTAAATGTAGCATTGCCTCTTCTTTTTCATATTTTCATGGATATTTGTGTATTTAAATCTTTCTCATATAAATAGTGGAAATGGCTGGGTTCCCTTTCCACACAAAAAATCCAGTTAATATATGTATTGATTTCTAGCCTTTATGTCTCTCTATGCATAGATACACATACATATACACATACACAGTTTCTATATGCATGATGTACATATATGTGTACACACATATATACATACACATGCATATAACACACACTCACATATATATGGAGAGAGACAGAGACAAAGAGACAGACGTAGGGAGTGATAATGCAAATGGAGCAACACATCAATTAATGAAAAATCTGGGAGAAAAGTAAACGGGAGTTCATTGTATTATTCTTTCAACTTTTCTCTAAGCTTGACATTATTTCAAAATTAAAAAGTTAAAATCACAGTATTACATTTTAGATTCCTTTAATTTTGCTTCTTTTGGGAAATTAGGAAGCCTCTGGTTAATCCAACCATTTCAACCGCACTGCAACTTCAGGGAATAGAATATGCACAAAATTCACAAGTGAAGATCAAAATACAGCTTTTCTAATGGCTCAGAAAATACTCAATAATCTCAAAGGGCACTTGACAATGGCTGAACTGAAGCTGAGCTTTTAAACTCAAGGACAACGTGGGGCCTTTTCTTTACCATGAAATCTTGAGGCCTACCTGTCAGGAGAAATGCATTAGCCAAGGAAACCCTGTGACTACATCCACTTGAGCACAATAAAGAAAGAGCAAATACCATAAGGGCCTTGAGGGGAGGCAGGGGTCCAAGACACAATGAGGGGCTCCCTTCCTACTCTTGAGTTAGACTAACAACACTCAGTTGAGGAACTATGAAAACCCCAAACTGTGACCAATCAGAACAGTCACAGGGGACACCTGGGTGGCTCAGTGGGTTAAATGCCTAACTCTTGGTTTTGGTTCAGGTCTGATCTCAGGGTCATGGGATGGAGCGCCATGTTGGGCTCTGCGCTCAGCATGGAGTCGGCTTGGGTTTCTCTCGCTCGCTCCCTCTGCCCCTCCCCCCTCAACTCTCTCTCAAATAAATAAATAAATCTTTAAAAAAAAAAAAAGAACAGTCACTCTCCCAACTGGAGTACAAGTGAGTGAATGGATGAAGAACACAGATATTCACTCAAACCCTTCCCTTTCATGGGTGGCATAAGAAGTCCCCTCCTCCGCAGGAATGTGGTGATCATCCTAACATTCACTGTTAATCAGCATCCCTTTCATCTAAGCGTACGGTCTTATATTTTGTTTCTTCCTTCACAGAGTCTAAACTTTCTTGAATTTTACATGAACTATAAAGCAGATGCTAGCTAAAATTGATTTATTTTTCCTGAAATAAATATTTTTTAAAAACAGACTATTCTTCAATTACTTTATAGAAAACTTTAAGATCCTTGTCTTATTTAGGAATATCAGATTATTCTTATTTTAATATATTATGCAGAAAGTTATGAGTTGACTATGTTCTGAATCAAAGAAGCATTTATGAGAACACTACAAGACACGCTAAAGCTCACCTAACTTTGTAACCTGGGTCAGTGGTCCTCAGGTCAGCAGCCCCTGGGCTCCAGTCAGCCCAACAATGGGGTGATCTGAGTTAATCTAGTCCTGGTGTCAGTGGCTTTTTTCCTAGATGTGAAGCTTGTCTGAGTGGTCTTCATTCTTACAGAGAACTTACTAAGTTCTTACAGACTAATCAGAAGTCACAATAAGTCCCACTTATCCTTTAAAATGTAGCATTTCCTCAAAGATTGGTAAAGAATCTCTACTAAAGACCATGTGATTTTCTTGGTTAGTCTTTATATAAAAGTAACTGCAAGGGAGATTGTTCAGTAGTGGTGGTTGTGAGGGTTTGCTTGGGGAAAACTTCTCCATTGGCTAAATATTTGAACATGATAAGCACGGGAATTGCCATAATAGAATGTATGTGTGACCGACGCATTCAATTAACTGAACTCAGTACAATCAGGAAAACAGCTTTGTTTTATTCCCCACCACTGTTATAGTTACAACAGGAAGATACGGTATTGTCAATCTCCAGCTGTTGTTTTTTTAAAGACAGCTCTCTCATAATATTAAAGTCAAATTCTGTAAACCCGTCTTTTACTAATTTGAAAGTTAAGAAGGGGTATTTACCTGGGTCAGAAGATCCATCTCCCCCAGCAAATTGCTGAACATTTGGTCTATGTCTTCATTTGACTCACCCATCTGAAAAAGGAAAAAAAAAAACAAAACCAGATATAAACAGTCTAGTAAAAGCCTGGTCCTGGATAATTGTCCCACCTCTATTTTCCCCAAGAGCCCTGTCCATGGGCAAGTAAGTTGAAAAGAGAAGGCTATGGAGAGAAATGTTCATTTCAGCCTGAAATTCCATGCCTGCCTTCTTTCCAATTTGCTTGGTCCAAGACTGAACCAAACCATAGGAACTGTCTCTATTTTCTCTATTTCTCAGACTAAACTAGTCTCTGTGGGGCCAAGTGGACAAAATGAGTAGCTACAAAACTGGGTTGGCCTGAAAGGACAGGGAGACTTCAGTTAAAACAAGAGAGGACTATGAGACCATGGGACAAGCACATTCCTAAGAAGCAGACACATCTGAAAGAATCAGGTAAACATGCACATGGGCAGGGAGGCATGTATTTGAATCCAAGGAAGCCATTCAGTGAATGCTCAGGCTCAGACCACGCGAGGTGAGAAGGTGAGCACTCAGGTCCGTGACAAGTAAGGCAGACACTGCAGGTGTCTCTGTGTGAAAGCCTGAGTCAGGGAGGATGCAAACATAGCATCAGTGAGCGAAGATGGAATAACAGAGAAGGAAGATCCCATTTTTGTGTAGGTTGTTCGGCTTAGTGTTTGTTACAGTCAGAGAAGGAAAGACTGCTGCAGATAGGTCCTGCCTCTGGCTGGGGAGGGAAACCACTCACACGTGGTTTTATTCCCTCCCAGCTGCTTACAAAGCATCCGAGTCATACACTTCCTTCTTTAAATAACCTACAAAATGGAGAAAAAGTATTTAAGTCAACAAAATACTCGTGGTTTCACACGTTGTCCCCTCAAGCAATTCATCTGGTATTCAAAATCTAATCATGGATGATTCATTTATTACTTTAATAAGAGGAAACTAGCAGGGTAAACAATAAAATTCCAGAAATACCTATGTGAGTTTATTTTCATCAGAATATTATGCAGTACAATGTGACAAAAAAAGAAATCCTTCAGATGAATTATTATTAACAGGGAAATTTAAGAGTAAGTGTATCCTAGTGAACATTTCCTGAAGTATATAATTGTCAAATCACTAACCTTGTACACCTGAAACTAATATATGATATGTAAACTGCATTTCAATTTAAAAAAGAGTGTTAGTGTTAACACATTTTAAATTTTTCATAAGAGAAAAGTAATCCATTCAGAGTGAAAAAAATAAATTTATTTGCTGACCTCGAAAGTGCTAGCCAGTGTTCCAAAAAACTCACGGAAACCAAAGATGATGTTAATAATAATAAGAATCCTGCCATTAAAGCTTTCTCTTAAATCATTAAATTAGGAAAAACACTAAAATGATGAAGAATAAAGTCTTGAAAAGAAATGTGACACTGGTGAGTCAGAAAAACCTGTTGAGCTCAAAGACCTTAGTTTCTCAGCCTGTACACACCACTGATACACAGCGGGCAAAGGACATGCGGAGTGAATCACACACCTACGATGGAAATAACTCAAAACCAACAGCATTCTCATGACCTCTGGTAAACTCTTCTTGTGTTCATCTGGTAAGACCTTGCCCCCTGCCCTTTCATTCCCTTTTCCTAGAGTCTGTTGGTATTGAATTATTAAAAGGAGTCAACATCAAAACTGTGCTGTGAATCTACAGGCATAAGTAAATCTGCTGCTGAATGAATCGTAGTGTAAAAGAATTGTAACCTTGGGGAAAACAGTAAGACATTTGAGTTAAGGGCCTTTATTAACATAAATTTAGATTAATCTGTAAATTCAATCATCTTACATATTCATCCTCCCTGAAAGAGAACCTTATTTTTTGAATGGACAGAACAAGAATTACAGGGATATATATATAGTGTATTCAAATACACATAAACACATGCTCAAGCATGAAAAAATAGGGTTGTGTCTATTTGTATGTGTGGTGTCCTCCAAAGGTCAAAATCAAGATTAGAAAGAGAGAGCCAAAGAGAGAAAGAGAACACCCAGCCCTGAGAGCTCAAGATGTTATTTGGTCCAAAAGAGCAAGGGTGGAGCTGCCTTAGTCAAGCAATGGATTGCAAAACAAGCAATGTGCACATCATGATTGGGTGGAATTAACATCTTTTTGTGTGTATGTAATTTCTGAGTTCCTTTTGGGTCTTGGGAAGAACAACAAACTGTTGATTAGGAAAAACTGGAATAATACTTTATCAGATTTTTTTTTTTTCTGGAGGGGAGGGAGTGGCTAGGAGAGGGGTGGGTGGTTGAGGCTGCATATCCAGACTGAAATTCTGCCTTAGAAAGATTGTCTGAATGGCAATGGAATTTGCCATAATGCTCAGTATTTCCTTAAGGCTCAAATTTCTAAGCCTCAGTTTTTACCCTCAAGTAATTTCTTTTCTCCGTGTATATAAATTTCATAGATAAAATTCAAACATACATATTTAAAAAATCTATCCACACAATGGATTAGCAATTCCAGCCATAATTTTGGACCTAGATCAGGACCTTATTTTATCTGTCAGAGTAGCTTGTCTAAAAACAGCCTACTATGAGCACGTCTATCATTATTGCCACTCTGGTGCGTTCTCCTCTCACATGCCTTAACTTGGCTAATGGTCATTATTCATTCACTTATTAGTCTGATTTAGAAACCTTGGCCTAGTCCCTGATTTCACCCATTCTTCCATCGAACAGTCAAAAAAATCCTGTTAGTTTTTCCTGTGGAGCAACTCTCCCTTCTTTCATCCTCACTGTTAAGCCATGGTTCCGCCCCTCATCAGCTCATCCAACACCCAACTTCCTGGATCCCTCCTCAAGCCTCACCACCATCACAGTGAATTTGAAATACAAATTTGAATGTGTCACTCTCTTGCTTAAAAACATGATGTGGTTGGTGATCATGATGAAGTGGAAAGAGTTCAGGTCTCAGCCTGTCTTTCAAAGTCCTTGATAATAGCCCTTGACATTGTCTGAAGAGGCTTTAAAAAATTCTCTATGTCTTTGTAATATGCTTTCCTATCCACCTATCCTTCATAAAATCCTATTTATTATTCATAATCCAGCTCTGATGTCAACACTTCAGTGTATCTTCATAGCCTGTAGAGAGATTTACTGTCCATTGCCCTTGGTAGCCATATCAGTAAATCCTGGCCCCAATAACAAGCTTGATAAGGTATTTCACCTCCAAGTTTGTTTCCTTGTCTGTAAAATGAGAGGAATAATATATAGTTCACAGGGTTGTTGTGACATTGAAACAAACAGCATATGGTCCTTGGCATAAGCACTAGTAATAGCATTTACTATAGTGAATCATGCTCTTTTTTGTTACCGTGTTTAAACCTCTTTCCAGACTGAGAGCTTTTATTAAGTATGGATCAGATCTCATTCATCTTTGTGTTTAAAAATGCTTTGTTGGAAGCCCAGAGAGACTAAATAACCTCCCAGCTTAATGGGAAGAAGTGAGCTAAACTGCAGGCTCAGGCCACATAGAAACTCTCTATTAATCCACCTCCTATGGCCTAGACGTGGCAGTCAACATCAATACAATGAAGAACCTTGTGTTATAAACATTTTTATAAGGAGCTTTTGTCAAATGCCTGCTTTCTTGTAGCACCAGATTAAGGTATAAATTTGTGGATGGTCTAATTTGAATGTTTTGCAAGGCTCATCTTTTCAGCTTTTAGTTATGCATAATCTTTACATGAATTGAGGTACTGGTACCAATAACAGAATGAAGAGTATCATTTAGTAAAATTAAAATAATAAAATAACAAGGGATGTATTAAAAAAGGACATCATTAAAATGAATCAGTCAGTTAAGTTCAGACAAGTTAGAATTGGTCTTCAAAATTCCACCAGAACAGATGCTACCTCTCTCTGTTCTGTGCATGGCTGTGGGTTGAGAGAGAGAGAGGAATCTCCCCATTTCATCATCTGCCTGATAATAATAAAAATAACTATTAACACACTGTTAGGCGTTCTCACTCTGTGCCATGCATTGTTCGTGTCCTGATGAGATCCATCCTCACAACCACCCTTCTTTTTTTGTGTGTGTTTCTTTTTTTTTTATTATTATGTTATGTTAATCCCCATACATTACATCATTAGTTTTTTTTTTTTAAGATTTTATTTATTTATTTGAGAGAAAGAGAGAGAGACAGAGAAACAGCATGAGAGGGGAGAGGGTCAGAGGGAGAAGCAGGCTCCCCGCTGAGCCGGGAGCCCGATGTGGGACTCAATCCCAGGACTCCGGGATCATGACCCGAGCTGAAGGCAGTTGCTTAACCAACTGAGCCACCCAGGCGCCCACATCATTAGTTTTTTTTTTTTTTTAAAGATTTTATTTATTTATTTGAGACAGAGAGAATGAGAGACAGAGAGCATGAGAGGGAGGAGGGTCAGAGGGAGAAGCAGACTCCCTGCCGAGCAGGGAGCCCGATGCGGGACTCGATCCCGGGACTCCAGGACCATGACCTGAGCCGAAGGCAGTTGCTTAACCAACTGAGCCACCCAGGCGCCCAGTTTTTTAATGTAGTGTTCTATGATTCATTGTTTGCAGATAACACCCAGTGCTCCAAGCAGAACGTGCCCTCTTTAATACCCATCACCAGGCTAACCCATCCTCCCACCCCCCTCCCCTCTAGAACCCTCAGTATGTTTTTCAGAGTCCATAGTCTCTCATGGTTCGTCTCCCCATCTGACTTCCCCCCCTTCATTCTTCCCCTCCTGCTATCTTCTTCTTCTTCTTCTTTTTTTAACATATAATGTATTATTTGCTTCAGAGGTACAGATCTGTGATTCAACGGTCTTGCACACTTCACAGCACTCACCCTAGCACATACCCTCCCCAATGTCTATCACCCAGCCACCCCACCCCTCCCACCCCCCACCACTCCAGCAACCCTCAGTTTGTTTCCTGAGATTAAAAATTCCTCATATCAGTGAGGTCATATGATACATGTCTTTCTCTGATTGACTTATTTCCCTCAGCATAATACCCTCCA